ATATTTATATATATATACACACACACACTCCGCACAGCAAGTACGAGCATCAACATTTTCCAGCAATTTACCAACTGTATACAACTTAAAACTATTATCACCCTCCTCCATCACTAACTCAATGCACCTCAAACATCCACAGGCGACAACAGCACGCTGAGAAGACCACAGGGTTATGAGGTGCTCCTGTTCTTGATAACACACGAACGTTGAGCTTCATAACACAGACACTGAGATTCTACTGTTTTTCATAACACAGACACTGAGATTCTACTGTTTTTCATAACACAGACGCTGAGATTCTACTGTTTTTCATAACACAGATGCTGAGATTCTTCTGTTCTTCACAACATAGACGCTGGGATTACATTGTTCTTCATGACACAGACGCTGAGTTTTTACTGTTTTTCATAACACAGACGCTGAGTTTTTACTGTTTTTCATAACACAGACGCTGAGATTTTTCTGTTCTTTGTGTTGTTCTTCATAACATAGAGGCTGAGATCATCTCGTTCGTCAAAACACAGACGGTGAGAATCTCCTATTCTTCGCACACTGGACGCTGTGTTTCTCCTGCTTTTCATTCAACAGACTCCAGTAAGACGCAAAGACACTTCTATTTTTTGTAATACAGCCGTTGAGACTACTGTTTTTCATAACACAGACGCTGACATTCTCCTGTACGCCTCGGATATTTTCGTGACGTCAGTTTCTAACACACAGAGTAGAGCTCTATTTATTGCACTGCCAAGAAAACATCGTCAATTTTCCAACTCGCGGCAAAAATCTACAGCTTCCCCTGGCAAGCCACTCGGTTCACAAAAAGAGAGCCAGGCTATGTGGCTGGGGGCACGGCGATAGTGCTGACATGTTGGGTAAATAGACGCCACAGCGGCCCCAGACTCGAACCAAGGTGCTTTGGGATATTATGGTGCCAGGTGAGTGGGTACAAGAGGTGTGAAACAATCAGGGATCTAAGTGTGTGCCTGTGTGTGTGTGTGTGTGTGTGTGTGT